TGCGGAGCCTGAGGCGGGCTGCGGGGCGTGGGGTGGAGGGCGGGGGCTGTCCGTGTGTCCGTGGGTCTCAGCCCCGGCAGAGGTGGGACGTGCTCCCCGCTGTGGAAGGCGGTGTCCTCCCCTGAGGGCTGTGATAAGGGGATAGGCCCTCACCCGGCTTGCAAGGGTGTCCTTCCCCAAAGGGTGTCCTTCCCCAAAGGGTGTCCTTCCCAAATGGTGTGATCTCCTGCAAAGGGCACCCACCTCCCCAAAGGGTGTTCTCCTCCCCAAAGGGTGTCCTCCTCTCCAGAGGATGTCCTCCTCCCTTGAGGGTGTCCTTCCCAAAGGTCGTCCTCTCCTGCAAAGGGCACCCACCTCTCCAAAGGGTGTTCTCCTCCCCAAAGAGTGTTCTCCTCCCCAAAGGGTGTCTTCCTCCCCTGAGGGTGTCTTTCCCAAAGGTCGTCCTCTCCTGCAAAGGGCAGCCACCTCCCCAAAGGGCATCCTTCCCTCACAAAGGGCATCCCCCTCACCGAAGGGCATTGCCCAACCCAAAAGATGTCCTTCTCTACAAAAGGAGTCTTCCTCCCCAAAGGGCATCCTACAAAAAGGCATCCCCCACATCAACAAATATCCTTTGTTCCAAAGGGAGTCCTCTTCCCCAAGGGGCATCCTCTTCCCCAAAGTGCCTCCTCCCCAGAGGGTGTCCTCCCCAAAGGGTGTCTTCCCCAAAAGGCATCCTCTCCTGCAAAGGGCACCCTCCTCCCCAAAGGGCACCCTCCTCCCCAAAGGGCATCCTCTTCCCTGAAGGGCATCCTACCAAAAGGCATCCCCCACCTCGACAAATATCCTTCACTCCAAAGGGAGTCTTCCTCCCCAAAGGACATCCTCATCCTCAAAGACCACCTACCTCCCCAAAGGGCATCCTTTGCCCCCCAAAAGGCAGCCTCCTGCCCAGAGTCCCTGACCCGCTACCCAGCCCCAGGCCTCTGCACTTGGAGAAGTCCCCTGCAGAGAAGGGCAGGCCAGCGGGGTTGCACCCCGCTGTTGCTTCATGCCTTGCAGCTCTGGAGGAGGAGGTCTGTTGTCCCCCACAGGTTTAGCGGCACAGAGTGACTCAGAGCTTCCACAGCAGCCACGCGTCACGGCTGGCAAACCATGCAGCGCCCATCCTGCATGGGGGGTGGACCCTGAAAACCTGCACCCCCTCTGAGGCCCTTTGTACCCAGCAGCAGTCAGCAAAACGAGCAGAAAATTCCCCCTGAGGACGGAAGCTTTAGCAATGTGCAAAATCTTGTGTGTCCAGCAACCAGACTGTTTGCAGAGGACGGGGCGTTGTCGAAGGGTAGAGATGTCTCCACCAAACCGTGAGCCTCTGAGTGCAGCCCAGTGCGCGGCTGAGCGTGCAGGGAAGTGGTGCTTGTTCCACTGCCTCTCCAGATTCCAAATGTACGTGCTTTCGCATCCTCAAAGTTACAGGTGCAATCAAGAAGGCTGAAAGAGTTACTGATGAGTAAATATACCCTCATTTTTAAAACAGAGTCATCTGAAAAATAACCCCTTTCAGGGGAACAATAAATGCATATAGTGCTATGTTCGTGATGAAAATGATGCAGTAGCTTAACTATGGATATAAATTTAAAATAATTTTGTTAAACTGCTATAAATCTCCATGTAGATACTCATTACTGATTTCAACAGTTCAGCTTTAACTCACTTATGAGCTAAACTAGGTTTAGACTATAACTGTCCTATTTTTTTAATTGATTTAAATTAGGATATTAGGAATTACATCAGTAAATTCTAACCATTTTAAGAAATACATTATTTTATCACCATCACATTGCTTTTAGGCAACCTTCTCGACCTTTTGGGGAAGCATTAACTTGAGATTCTGTTGCTGTTTCTTAAAGCAACCAGCTAACATGCTCTTACTCAGGCCGACAAAGAGATGAAAACAGATTGCACTGTTTTGGGACGGTCTTTTAAAGATCCGGAAGCACTGACTTGGTAGGAAAAGCAGAATTTCCTCCCTGTTACAGACAAAAAAATAAATGCTGTTTCAGTTCGCTAAGACTGTGTTAGCCAATAATGTTGTTACAGGCATTTAAAAAAAGAGCTCTAGGTTTGTTTTTTTTTTCCCCAAAGGCAGCTACATTTTGCTGGACTTGCCGTACGAGTGCATGTGCCTTGCCACTCCTGATCAAGCCTGTCTAATGAGACGTGGCTACACAGCATCATCCTGTGTCCTTTCTTCACCAACGAGATTTTTCATTTAGCTCCACACTTTCCGAAAACAACCCCAGAGTTCCCAGTGACCTTAGGGAAATGTCTGTGTTACAGTTCTTCATGTTTTATACTCAAGAGCAGAAAAGGTCCGTGGTATCTTCATCTTGTCCTGGTGATGCCGGCTGGATGACCGTGCCTCTTTGCATTTGTACTGCGCTTTGAACCTCAATTTTCAGTTTCAATTTGTAGCCACTGCAGGCTGTTGTTGCATAAAAACATGTGGGTTTCTCTTTAATTGCCTGGAAGTCACAATAGATTATCGCAAATAACGTGTATTTTACATAATGGAGTTGTAAAATCATCGCTGAGACCAGGCAGAGGTGGCTTAAGTTCAGTCTGTCCTGTTGAGTTCACTCTGATTCTGCTCTTGAGTTGTAGTTTATTTTGCCTGTTTGAGCAAGGGAAAAACTCCCTGTGCCTTGTCTCCAGTAACAATTCTGAGTTAGTTACTTCCATGGCAAAAAAACCTCCCTGGCTCACAGGCACTGACACACCTGGGTTCGTCAGTGAAATACAGCCTTAAGTTAGTACCACTGTTTGCGTGAGACGCGTGGGACATCTGTTGGTGACAGTGACAGGCTTGTCCTTTAGTGTTACACTTGGGTAAGCTGTTACCTGCTTTTTTGAAGCCAAAATGTTATCAAATCTGTGTTTTATCAGTGTTTTACAAAGTTCCTGAGACTGAGGGCAAAGTTACACAAGTAGGGGCCAAGTCGATGTGGTGGTTTATTGTCCCCAAGGGGAGTGGTTGGGCTAGTAACCTCCTGAGACCTATAGTATTCACTGGTCTCTTTTGTAAGGTATTCATAGAATCATAGAATGGTTTAGGTTGGAAGGGACCTTGAAGATCATCGAGTTCCAACCCTCCTGCCATGGGCAGGGACACCTCCCACTAGACCAGGTAGCTCAAAGCCCCGTCCAGTCTGGCCTTAAACACTTCCAGGGATGGAGGTTCCACAACTTCTCTGGGCAACCTGTGCCAGTGCTTCCCCCGCCCCAACCACGTAAAGAATTTCTTCCTGGTATTGAATCTTAAACTCCCCTCTTCCAGTTTAAAGCCATTCCCCCTCCTTCTATCACTACACGCCCTTGTAAAAAGTCCTTCCCCAGCTCTCCTGTAGGCCCCTTTTAGGTACTGGAAAGATAAGGTCGCCCCGGTGTCTTCTCTTCTCCAGGCTGAACAGCCCCAACTCTCTCAGCCTCTCCTCATAGGAGAGGTGCTCCAGCCCTCGGATCATCTTCATGGCCCTCCTCTGGACCCACTCCAACAGGTCCATGTCCTTCTTATGTTGGGGACTCCAGAGCTGGATGCAGTACTCCAGGTGGGGTCTCACAACAGGGGAGTAGAGGGGCAGAATCACCTCCCTTGACCTGCTGGCCACACTTCTGATGCAGCCCAGGATACGGTTGGCCTTCTGGGCTGCGATCGTGCATTGCTGGCTTATGTTGAGCTTCTCATCAATCAGCCCCCCCAGGTCCTTCTCCTCAGGGCTGCTCTTGATCCATTAATTGAAGTCACTATCATGGGGGGCAAAACCCCTCAAAAATAGACAGTTAAAATCCTCCAGAGAGTGAATAGCTTTCTGCTGGGTTAGTGAGTAGAATCAGCTCAGCAAAGGATCTGGCGCTCAGCAGAGCAAGCTCAAGGGTCAGCACAGCCACCAGCAATGGCATGGGGATAAGGGAGATTTTCCTTCGGTGACAACAGACGTGAAGATTAGCTATTGAATGCTTCTGATCAGAATTTTGGCAA